TGCGCCATCGTGAATGAACCGCATTGCCGCAGCATAGAAAGTGCACATCACGGCTAAATATCACATTGGTAGTCGCGAGAGCGAGCCACGATTATACAGGTAGGCGTGACGCATTGTAAGGAGCTTTTATAAAATTACACGAGAACGCAAGAACGGTGCGCCTCAATTTTCCTGGAAAATTGAGTTGTGAGACGACGGGAAGCTCTGTGACACATTTAACAAGCAGCGCAAAATATTCCGTGAAAATGGCGAAAACAATTGTCCGTGCAAACTAGTAATTGAAAATTTCCTCTTATATATATATATATATATATATACCAGAGTCCTTTAGAAAGTTCGCTGGATAGTGTATATGAGAATAATTAAAAATTTAATAGATTCAACAAAAATGAAATGAAAAATCCTTATTACAATTAATTACCTGAAATAGGAGATGCACTTGAAATTGAATTAATACGGACGAAATTTATAATATACGTGTACGACGAGAAGAGGGGGGGGGAGGCTTTGTTAATTTTATTAATATAATGACGTAAATTCTTCGAGTTTCTTGTCTACAATCCAAGTTGGTCCAAAATTTTTTATTTTTAAATCTTTCATAATAACGTTCATTATTTTTTCATTTCATCAAATAATACATTTCTTTTGTATGCACAATCAGCTTTATGTAAGGTATTTTTTAAAATTAAAACGTACCAGATATTGGCCTATACGTAGCTTTCTTCTATTGAAACACAATTACTTATAATGATACCCTCGTGAATACTATTTGTAACGAGTATATTTTAATATATTACTGTATTCAATTAAGAAATATTCTTTTATTGAAATATTTGGTTTATTTATTAATTTTTTAAACATATATTAAATTATTATAAAATTTAATAAATTAGATGTAGTTGTAACATTTGAAATTATTTTAATATTTCCAGATTTTTGTTCAACTCAAAAGATTGTTTTAAAAAATTAGAATTTTTTTTTTATCGATAAATATTGTAAGTATTGTAGCTCACGTAATTTGCTAAATGTATTTCAACAATTGCATAATTGAGGACATTTAAATAGGCTTTGAGTCGAAAATAAAGTGATACCCAAACATATACACTATTACTAAATTTTCAAACGAGTTTTTTAAATCATAAATAAATTCGTAGAATATTGATTTATACGAGATTAAATAATAAATCATTAAGGAAAAATTCTGTATTATTATTCATTCTGTATTATTAACAACAACATGTGAATTATATGAGTTTTACTGTAATACAATAACACTGAGGATAAAGAAAAGAAATACTTGTAAAAGAATTTCCACTTTATTCTTATATATAATATTATTATTTCAAAGGAATTCATGTTAAAAATAACATTAAATGTGATTAAATAAATTGCAAACATTTAGTTTTCCTTAAGAAAATTAGTGTTAACTCAGCAAATAATTATACTAGTGTACGTGCATTCCCGTACAAATCAATAATTTATAATGAAAAATTTCTCACAAGAATTTTTCAATTAGCTAAACAAATAATATTATTTTAAGACGCGGTCACTTAGGCATCACTTTAAACGTCCAGTGGCTTCTAAAATTGATTAAAGTTATAGGGAGCATTTCCATTAAAAATGTACATATTCGTACGGAGTTGTAAAGCTCTGTCGAGGATTAAAGGGTATGCAGCAATTTGCAGCAAGAAGAATATGAAAGAAAAGACGAAGAGGAAAAATAAGAGGAAGGATAAGATGCGTTTTTCTGGCTTGCGAATTCTGATACTTGCATTAACGAGCAAATAAGCGAAGCGAGCGCCAATTATCGCTTAAAAACAATTGCTCTCTTTACGAGTATGTGCGCGAGCTAAAGAAATTCAATGGTCGCCGGCTGGTGGAAAAAAAAAACGCGGACCGCCGAAGCCCGTGAAACTCGGCGAAAAAGAGGTGAAAAAGTTTTGGAAGTTTGGAGTCGCATATGCCGTCGCCGCCACCGTCGCTTATATATACGGCAGCACTACTAGCACCAGCACCAGCACCAGCACCAGCAGCATCTTCTTCTCGTTTTCCTCGCGCGCGCGCATAATTTGCATGCGGCTTCGCGGCCAAAGTCATTACATAGCATATGCACTCGGGAAGCCGCTCACTCGCTCCTCTTTTTGCAGCTCTTCTCTCTTTTCATTTGCAGTCTGCCCGCGTACGTACGCAACGTCCTTATCCCGTACCCGCGCCTCTCTGTGTTTGTGCACGAGATCCTCTACCAAGGAGCCGGACTTCGGTGGCTCGCTGAAAAAAAAAAGAAACAAAAAAAAAAAAATGCTCACCTCGACCATACCCACTTATGCTTTATTAGCTCCTCAATAATACATCTGCCGGCACAATGGACCTCGTTATGCGAATCCATTTAAGTCAATCCCGATGTACGAGAGCCTCGTTTCTCGGCTCCACTCGCCGCAACGCATCGATGCACCGTAGACAGCTACAGACACACTGGCAAACAATAATTAAGAGAGATGAGAGAGCAAAGAGAAAGACTGACAGGGCAAAGACAAAAATCTTTACGATTACATTAGTTAACGCTGACCAATTGTTTAAATAACATCAGGAAGTATGGGAGGGGACGATTTATGGTTTCGTACGATATAATCACAAACCCTTTTGTTTTACATATCGTAACTTTGATAAACTATTATTATTCATTATTAATAATAACCAAAGTCCAATAATTTCATATTTCAAATGATAAGCGTTTGAAAAACAAACTATGCAAACAAGTATGCCATTACTTTATTATGTAATTAGATAATTAAGTGATATGTAAATAAGTAATCTCATTGGAACATTTTATTCGTAAATATACAACATGACGTTATAGTATATGAGTCGATAAAATAATAATTTACTACGTTTAGACATACAAAGTAATCTTTATATATATAAAAAAACAAAAACAAAAACAAAACAAAAAAACAGTTATTTTTAAATCAATTTATGTCCTTTCTTTACCTATTTTTTCACTTTTATTGCCAGTTTCCGTCTACTACTTGTCTCTCTTATTTCCACGAAAAAGTATAACGCTTTACTTTTCGACAACATTATATCTCGAATTTTTAATGCTCATACACTTATTATCTCGAGAAAAGAGCCATTCTTGTAATTACGGTTATATAAAGAATTTCCTTTGATTATTCTTTTAAAATTGCTTTCTTTCAACTTTTTAGGAGCTTTCGAAGACGATGACGTCACGCATATCGAGGGTGACGTTAATCCAGTAAGGGATTTCGAAATAATTAACGAGGAACTCCGATTAAAGGATGTTGAATTTATCACTGCTCATTTAGAAAAATTGGAAAAATTAGTTGTGAGAGGAAACGACAAAAAACTGAAACCTGAATATGTAAGTTTTATTTCATTCTATATTACCATTGTCATGAATTTAACAAAATATTATCGAGTATTAGCAATACCTTACGAATTCGTGTACATTATCATCGTACCAAACATATATATATATATATATATACACACACATATTGATTGCGTTTATTTATTTATATAACTAGATATGTAAAAATATTTAATAAAATTGTATCAATGATCTATACGTACGCATGATTTTCGTATCAATACGCATGCACACATTTGTTCGTCTACGTATTTATATACGTAACTTGATATATCGACGATCCATTCAAGATATTGACTCTGTATGTTTATGTACACACAAAAGCGATTGAATTGAATATTAATAATTTTAGCTTATAAGTTGAATGAAAATGTAATTGAGGGTTTGTTATCAGAACAATATTATCGAAATATCAAGTATCTTTTAATCGGTTAAAGGTCTGGATCGTATAGTATTATTACCAGTGCGAAGAATGGAGTGAAGTGAGTCGAGTATTGTACTCGTTATAACATGATGATACTCGTGCTTCAAGTAGAACTGATCTCAAATAAATATTATGCCACTCGTTTCAAAAAAAAAAAAAAAAAAAAAAAAAAAAAAAAAAAACGACAAACATTGTGATTATTATTTAGATATCTAGTTATATCAACGGTATTATATATACTGTTGGTACATATCTTTGATCGTAAGTACTGTACTTTTATTTTTAATACGTAGGCTCTACGGCTAAGTATTTTGTAAGTTATTACCCGTACACATATATTATCGAGACTTTAAATTTATAATGTCGTGATACTAAATTTTAAAAGATTTAAATGTCTTATTTTAATATTATGTTGCTCAATAGGATAAACGATAATTATAATTATCAAATTAATATAGGCTACATTGAAGGTTAATAGGTAAATTTTTTTTCCCTTTTCTTTTCGTTTTACAATATTCGGCATATCGATATTATAATCGTTGCCTTATATATAAATAAATTAAATTTTCACACATGGCATAGCACATATTCATGATAATTCAATAATCTTTTATATAATTATCGCTTGACTTGGCTGAGTAGATTTCGGAAGATTTGATTGGTAGTGTAATAACCGAAACAATAATGTGACAATTAGTGTTTTTGTCTTAAATGTAATTTCGAGGAATATATAAAATTGAAAATAGTCGGGTATTGCGCGAAGTTGCTGCCTTATTTATAAGAAATACCAACTATTTCGTTTCGTTGTTAAATGAGTAGTCATAGTTCGAAGATGAACGAACAGCTTAATTATCCCAATCAACGTCATGGGCTAAGAATATGAAGCCAACTACCGTTACCCAATAAAGTATTTAAAAAATATTCCCTATTAATATATTTATTATAATAAATATTTTAAATTATCGGGAAGCATCCGACAGCTGCCGAAGTTTCACCTTCCGGCCAATAACTACGACAAGGCAGAGCTCGCTCAGGTAAGGCGCCAATCGAGGCGAACGTCCGGCATTGGCGAGCTTTCGCTGTGGCAACGGTGTAACTGCCCCGGCACGAATACGCATTTACATTGGGCCCCGAAGCGCCTAACTGCACTTAACTTTCGCGCCCCCCCCCACACACACACACCCATCCCCCTCTCCCTCCGACCATACCCACCGCTGCTCCGCCCACGTGCTCACGATAATCGCAAATTGGCTGCATCGACAACCCCTTGTGATCCAGCTCATCTCCTCGAGCGATTACATTCGATTAACAGGGGGGTGGGAGGGGTGCGAAGCCCTCGTTGGCTCGTGAAAAATTCGCGAGCGGACGCGCGATTAATAGCAAAACAACAATGCCCTTCGGATCGGAGGATAAGCTACGCTGTGCCTCTCTGTCTCTGTTTGTATAGGCAAGTAGAAGGAAAAATTTTTGTCGATGTGCTGACCGATATCTTATTACCTTATTCGTTCGTTTTGATAATTTTTAGAAAAAAAAGGCTTTCTCGGGTTTAACATCGCGATATCATTTCAATAAATTTCTAAAATCATATTGTTATTCCAAAATAAATTGTTGGAAGTTATAGGCTGTATCGATAAAAGTTATGGTTGATGATAGAATTAATGGTTGTAATCTTGATTTGTTGAAAAAAAAAAAAAAGAAAGTGAAAGAGTATGCTGAAATATGATTGAAGTTAAGATTATCCAAATGCACGAATAAAATGGAATGTATTGAAAACTAAGCATCTTTATTTTTATTATCTCATAAAATTGCACTTGCGAAGCGACAATAAATAATAGCCGACATTAACTATAGCATTGTTGACGTTAATGTTTATTAATTTACTCTGTATGGAAAAATGTTGCAACATTATAATTCTGATAATGAAATTGATACTATTTAGATTAAGATAGTGCACGTATTATTTGAATAAATCTTTTAGTTTGGATCTTTTGGATCTTATTAATCACCAATGAAGAAGATTATTATAAACAAAACGTTTAAATTATTTAGAAATTTATGCTATAAATAGCACGAATAAAATATATTTTATATCCTAATAAATTAAAATTAACTGAGGGTCCTATTATCTCTAGTATATAGAAACAAATAATAATGCAATATGAAACTTTATTTTTCTCTCTCTCTCTCTCTCTGTCTTTTTTTTTTTTTTTTTTTTTTTTTTTTTTTTTTTTTGAATCTGAAAGGACCTGCAATTATTAGGTAAGTGTGACTACATCTTATCGCAATTATAAAGTTTCGTAAATTTATTTTCTAAAGTATACATGTTTTTTAACCTCAAACTTCACAAGTTATTTTCCCTTATAATGTTCATTAGTACTTAATATTTATAATATTATATTTTTTTAATGTAAGTAGCTATATATATATATATATATATATATGGATTTTCTACCGATGAATTTTATTGAAAAATTCATTTTTCTCATTGTTTTTATGGCGTATAGCACGTTTATTATTAAATAGTTGCACATTTTTTACACTGCATTAATAATTTTGGTTATAGATTTTGTATATATTTACGAGAATAAGTTTACGAGACACGTTTTTAGCGCTTTCTGTAACATTTTTAATAAAATAATTTTATATAAACGGCGCGCGAATATTATGAAGTTTGGATTTATATTAAATAAAAGAGAGCCACGTTGCTAAAATATTTTTACAAATATCCAATTGTGCCAAATTGTCGAACCTTTAAAGGTATTTATAGTTTTTGAGAAAAAAATTTCTCGGTAAGTACTTATTTCTCCTCAACATCAAAAAGTATACTTTTCCCTTAAAACTTTTTTACTGATGGGAAAAAATTGTGCATCGCAGCATCGTGCCGTGCTCATCGCAATGTCCAAATTATAATTAAAATTCTGCATTTTAAGAATTTGGCGATGGGCGTATGGGGGTGGGGTTAAGCATTGAGAAAATTTTTTCTCGTTGTCTCGGATCGCGATCGTCAGCCGCGTATCGGAAATCTGGCCAAAACGGATCGTGAAGAAATTCTTGACTAATTCATCGTGTGATTTCTCTCTTTCGCGGTTGGCTGCGCGAGCATAATTTGCAGATTTTTTTTCCTCGAATAAAGTGGCTAAAGGTTGAGATTACCGTCGAATTATCCGATCTGCTATAGAGGAGTGCAAAAGAAAGCCGTTCGCCGCCTTCTGAACTTTTTGAAAATTGCGAGAACAACAAGCGAACATTTCGTGAATGTGGGAATGAGCGATGCGCGCCGACTGGCAAAATTTGTTCCGGGAAATACGTGTGAAGCTAATTCGCATCGATCGGGCTTTCTTGTTTTCATTCCACTTGCCTCTTTTGAAATTTTATTCTTCACACTTTTATCTGCGATAGTTTCCAAATGCAAACTCGACTTTATTTCGAATACATAGTTTGTGTAGTTCGTGTAGTTATGATTGCCACTTGACATTACAGAAGGCATAGTCCACTTTCTCCATTTATCCTCAATCTTGGCTGATTTTACGAGTAATTTGTAATATTAATTATTACATGAATTTTAGCATATTTTTAATTAATAATGAAAGTATTTTTTTAGTACAATTCGTAGTACACGTTAGTACACCGTGCTTTAAATAGCAATAGTATTGTTAACTTTGATTTAATTATTATTAATTTTAATTGTGTTTTATTAGCTATCGATTTCTTAATAATGCAATTAAACATAGAATTGCCGATTACATGCAATACTAATAATTATTATAGTGACATATAGTCGCATAGCTCGCGACGATAAAATCTTATGCTTTTGAAACGAATGCTTTTATCGAAATATCGTGGAAATATTTTGTCATTGATTTTAATTTTCATTTTATGTATATTTATATATAATACATAGGCATCTATTATCGCACAGAAGTAACAATATTATTTCTGAATAATTGATCGCTGCAACATTTAATCGATTAATAATTATCCTAAGAGATTATCTGAGCTGTTGAAAATAGCGTATTATTGCTCTCGTGATTATTGCTGGTGCGCTGGGATGGGAAAGGAGAAAACTTTCCGACGTATACGCTTACGCTTAGATAGGTGCGTTCGACTGCGTTGATTAGTCGATAATTAGTCTATTAGTTGCATGCGCCGCCCTTGCACCGACTGCGCTGCGCTGCCCTACAAACAAAAAGTAATATTACAGATAATCCCATTTGGCATGCCCCGGGTGGGTGGTGAACCTTGCCGCTGATAATCTTCTCGTGTCTTCGAGCCTCTTAATAGAATAGAAGCCTTCCCCGGCCACTCGGCATTTAAATTTTTGACTCTCCGCTCGCGTTCAGCCCTGACGCTCGTTAGTGCCAACAGGCCTAATAATTCCGCAAGCCCGAAAGCCTCGCAGCAGGTACGCCTCGTGCCCTGGTACGCAAAATTTCGCCCGGGAGTTAGGATTAGGTTGGCGCGCCCAGGCGATGCTTATGCGCCGCCTCCCTTCCGTGCGCGATTCGACAATAATCGTCTTGGCTAATTTTCGTACGTTTGGACTCCTGATGGCGTGCCAAAGCCCTGAACGACGACGCGCCTCGCCTTTTTTTTTTCGCGGAATGCATTGCCGCCGCGGAACTTAGCTTTAAACGTCCCCGCGCCATTCGGAGGACCACCTCCACCCACACGAGCCCACCATCCGTCCGTTTAGCCTACGTGTACTTAGTCCTGCTAGTCTCCGCTCTGCAAACGTACGCGTGGGACTTTTTTCAAACTTGCTATTTTGCCCGTGATGACGCTTCCGGCAATTACCCGCGACGTTTAGATTCCGTTTTATTTTATGATTGTTCTTAGGAGCCTTCGGCAAATCAATCGGTGAAAATTTCAAAGTAAAGCTCGCTCGCGCATTAATTTATCCTTTATTTTATTTCCAATCCATTAGTGATGTAAGACAGTCGTATAAGACATGCAGGACTATGCTATGGGGCTTGCATGCACATTTGGTTTAGTTATGAATTTATACTGATTTGCCACTCGTGCCTAATTGAAAATTGGAAGAAGTGGATTAAGTTGCAAGCCGATCCCTTAATAATAAGTAGACTCTGCTCTTTTACTCCGGATTTTTTATTGTTAAACTGCATTGTTCCGTGTCATACGGATCTGAGAAGAGAAGCCAAGAACGTGTATTAATGATCAAATGCATGAAAAGTAATAATACGAGATTTTCAACGCTCGGATGAAGGAATCCAGACAGTTATTATGACGAAGTTTTAAAATCAACTGTATTTATATATAATTACGGGGCATGAAAAAACGAGAGGAAAAAAAGTTTACAAAATATAAGAAAGTCATTTTTAAATTTTTCATTTTAAAACAAGGCTATCCTTGTTTTACGTTTGATAAGTATTTTATAACCGTCAAATTGCAGGATTTAAATCTACTTCACAATATCACGTGACATTTGCAAATTCCCTTTCTTTGCTTACAAAACCAGCGAATAAAGTACAAAAATAGGGCGAATTAACGTACAAAAGAGTCCCAAGTTCATTGGATGGTTAATAAAATTTCTTTCTTCGATTAAAAAATAAATAAAGAAAAACGTCGCGATCGCATGACATTATAAATTCGGTTTAATCAAATAAATTGTAAAAACCAATAGAGTTGGGGCTGCAAAATTTGTGAACATTTTTGCATTTTATATTTGTAAGTGCGCAGTGCCTATTTGAAAAATTTCTCTAATATTAACTTGCTTGTTGTAAGAATCAAGAGGCAATCAAACATTTTAATTAAATCGATGTTTTAGATTTAGTTTAGCAAAGTATTGATAATAACTGTAGTATCGATAATGTTGATATTTTTAAGATTTCGTTAAAAAAAGAAAATAAAATAAAAAAAAAAAATAATAATAATAATAATAAAATACCGACTCACTACACTAGATAATTCGATATCAAACTTATATTAATAAGTTGTATATTATAATATTGTAGCGAGATAGTTAGATTGTTTTCATGTGCATTGTAAGTTCAGCGTCAGGACAATAAATAATAATAATTATCTCAATATATATGAAATTAGAGTTCGAATTCTTTTAATGTTGCAGGATGCTCTGCTAAAAGTGAAGCAAGTTCTAGTGGAGGACAAAAACCACATCAGATTCGTCGATTGGAGTCTAAACGAGGCAAGCACCTTCATTCTCCGGATGTCTCGCAAGTCCCGCGCTTTTCCACTTAAATCTCTTTGGAAAATGCCTGCTCGCCACAGCATGAAGCATCGGCTTTTCCATTCGTGCACTTGACTAAGCTCGCGAATCAAATTCCGCTGAATATCGGAAAGCAATGCATCGATATCCCATGGATTTCCGTGTGTCGGGAAACGGAGGCCCATTGCGCTACCGAGAAGGCACCTTTCAGCCCACTCGCGGGAGATGGGACTCGCAACGCGATAACGAGGTCCGATCGAGCGCCGTCGGTAGTAAAAGGCTCGGCTTTTTCGTCTCTGGACTCGCGTCAACGCCTCGGTTAGGCATTTTCGGCATTGCCTCGCGCGCACCCAGAGATTGCAATTGCAATTGCAATGGCTTCCTGGAGCGGTTGCAACGACATGCACTTTACGATTCCCAGGATGACGATTGTCAGTGAAAATGCGTTGACAATCGGGGTCGTGGATCGAGGACGCGCGGGAATCGTTCACGGGTTGCAGGACTGTGGGGGTGCCTTCGTGGAACGAGGATTTAACAATGTGCAGTTTGGCCGTAAATTTCGCTCTGTTCGAGTTGCCGAATCGTTGAACGAGAAACTCTTCAATATTGGGTGACCTTGACCGATGAACCGTTTGTGTTTTTGTCGCTCCGTAGACTTTAATGAAAGATGGGCCACTGTACCTTCTGTCGGGACTGCCGACTCGGGATAACGATATGGGCATTATGGCCTTCGATTGCAAATACGGATCGCCGTTTATAATTGCATTAGTATGGGATTATAAGTTGCTTGAAGCGAAGAGCTTTTCGATTGTGCCGACCATCGTTGCTTCGATGCTTTTCTAACATTTCGTGTCTCGATATATTTTTCACTATCTTAATTTATATTACATATTAATTGTATAATAATTAATCGATATTAAAAGAGCAATTCAATGCTATTTTATTATTGAATCTTTGACAAATTTCAAGTTCTGAGTTATGAAAAATGCCTGATAAGCCGTAAGTACTCGATATTATAATGCATTAAAAATCTGTACTTCATTATTTTTGAAAATATATTCGAATAAATTCGTGGTCGAATAATTGAAAGGCTCAAATAAGCTCAAGATTACGTTTTATTATAATAATGTACTTGTAGGATAATTTTTTTATGTAAATAATGCTAATGTAAATTGTGAATTTCGTGAATGTCGGTTAATTTTATTCATCGAAACAGCTAAATCGGACGTAATTTCCTCTATATTATTGAACAATATTCGACAGCATCCTTTGCAACAAACGCAATTCAATTCATAAAAATCTTGTAATTAATTCCATTTTCAGATCGAGATCCTAAATAAATATATGTTTCTTACGTCTAAGCCGGTGATCTATCTCGTGAATCTTTCGGAGAAGGACTACATTCGTAAGAAAAACAAATGGTAAGTACCAAAGAATTCATGATTGCAAAGTGATGGGTAGGAGGGATTTCAGTGGCATTAAAATTCTGGCCCTTAGGGTCCCTTTTTTTTCCATTTACGTCTCTTATAGAGAAGCAATACAAAACTAGTGAATTAAAAGTCTATCATCGTCCAAGGTTTACGATAAATCGATTAACGATAAATAAGCAAAGCGTTTGGAACAAAATAGCTGTGCAATTTTTATTATACAACTCGACGATTAATAATGGAATGTTTTGCCACGATATCATTCGAGAATAAAATTTGCTGAATTCTCTCGTGTAATTTTTGCAAAGGAAAGAAAACGTTTGAACGCTATTTGATTTTCATCCATGCTCGAACAATTTTAGAGAGCATCTGTCGGATGCAATAATTTGCTAATTTAATTCATTATCCATACTTTATTCGTTGAAGGTGTTCTTAAATCGATTCGCAAATCAACCGAATTTACAATTATATTTTATGAATTGAAAGATGCCGAGACGCGACGTTATTGCCATTTTTATTTGCAGGTTTTAGTAGCTTCTTGGATGACTCGCATATTGTCAATTACTGTTTTAGCGCATTTGTAATTGCGTCTTTTACATTTGCAATTACAATCATCTCTTTGGCAAAATAAGATTTTTATCGAAACTTAATTGTCTCTCGTTTTAGCAGAAATTTCACTATCTCAGAGTTATATTCAATTTAAGCATGGAATTTAACTTTTATCTTAATAATAACGGCGCATCGTGATATATCTTTTTTCTTGATAATTTTTGTTTGTAATCGCGGGCGATCGTCCGGCAAACGCTACAAACTATTTCATTCTAATATTTTCAATCGATACTTGGACATTCATTCGTCAATACTATCATAGCCGTATAAAACGGAATGTAACAATTGCATTGTAATCGCTGCTCATTTTCCTTTTACATTAATCTATTTTAAAGTGTATCATTAGTGAAGAATAGCAAATGACACGCACAACTGGTACGTTCAGGCGTTGTGAAAATTTGCGTGAAAATTGATTCGTCATTTAAATAAGATATTAAAAATATATCATTTTACGTCTACGTTTCTGCATGTACCATGAAAATTTACATCCAATAAGCGGAGAAAATATTCATATAAAATAAGCTCGATATCCGTTATTAATATGTTTAATGTACGCAATAGATGGAAGAACGATATCCGTTATTAATATGTTTAATGTACGCAATAGATGGAAGTCAATGGTACATTGATACTCCCTTAGGGGAAACAGCGATGCGCCCGATCTGCCAATGAAGATAAAAGTAACGTTTGCCCACAGGTTAATCAAGATCAAAGAGTGGGTGAATAAGAACGATCCAGGGGCCATATTGATTCCGTTTAGCGGCACCTTCGAGAACAAATTCATCGACATGGACGAGGGCGAGCGAGCCAAGTACATCGAGGAATCCAGAGTCTCGAGGTGAAAATCCAGTCCACCGGGCGGCACAAGCCCCTGCACTTCTTTCTTCCACCTAGTCACCTTCGCGTCCTCCTCCTCCTCCTCCTCCTCCACCACCACCACCATCCCTCTCCACATCACCCCACATCACCCCACATCCCCGACGTTCCAGACGTTCCCGTACACACTCAGCCGTACGGAATTTTGCGAATACGAAACCGGCAACGGTTCCCACACGTCGCGCGAATCGTCGTCCCCCAAAAAGTGCAAAGCCTCTCCTCTTCTAGCTCTAAAGGTAATGGACGGTTACGCGCGAGCGAATTGCTCCGGCGCGTCTAGACGCTGCGCTCGCGCCCGCCAACTATAAAAACGGAGGGAAGTCCCGCTTCACTTTTTAAGCAACCTCGGACTCATTCAGATTCCCGGGAGATTATGATGGAAGACCGCCACTTGTGTGAGACTATAATCTCAGAATTAGAAATTCCGTTTCCATTTTACTGCTTGCGACTTTGCTCTTCGAATGCCGATGATCTTGAGATTTTTCATGCCTAAACGCACGTTAGGCGCGCGCCGACGGACCTAGTAGTAGGGGGACACTTTAAATTCTGGCTGAAATGTTGCCAGGTCCTGGGCTGAGGATATGTGTTTTGCGAAAAATATTTGCATTCGCTTGTAAAAAAAAAAAGTTTGCCTCGCTTTTTCGGCAGAGGCTAGATGCCAAGGTTTGTACTTTGCGAATGCTAATGCACGATTGAGCGGCGCATCACTTGCGGTTCTGTTAAACGAAAGGAACCACTTTACTTTTCTTAATATTTCATCACTTTGTTAAAAATGAAAAGAATATAAAAAAAAATTGCAATCTTACGTGGATGCGCGCGTCTAGGTGTATGTGAATGTGAATATTTATTAAATACACCAACATTATGTAAATCCTCTTTCTTTTCAAAGCTCGCTTGGTACTTAAATTTGTTATAACATTTTTCTGGATGTAAACGTAAGCTTCATTATATTTACGTATTATCATTTTTTTTTTTATTTTTTTTTTTTTAATTTTTATTATTATTATTATTATTATAATTTTTTCATTTTTAATCGATTATTTAAACTTACCATACTGATTTCTATATATAATGAAATCAAAACTATTTCAATCATTCTTATAGAAAGCTGTCGCTGACAATAATAAAGTGAATACTTCCGTTGCTTAATGTTCCTTTAATTCGGCTAAGCGATCTGATTCATAAAGAAATTCCTCACTGAGCTTTCTACTTAATTAGTGCCAACATTTTAAGTCCGTTTATATTGGTATGGGGAAAAAAAAACGATGAATCAATTGCATCTCGCGAATTTTATTAATTTATTCAATTCATTATAATCGATTCACTATGAAATATTTTATTTACAGAAAAATTATTTAAATTTTCAATCCATTTTTAGTGAGATAATTGTAGTAAATATCGCTGTCTTCATTTACATAAAAAGCTTTTCATTATGCAACTAAAAAGTAATACTTTGGATGTTGGAAGAAAAATGATAAGATTTTTCAGATAATCATTGCTTATTATGATAATAATAACGTCGACTCGCTCTCATGCCATCATCCACAGGAATAATTTAATTCTCTTCCTAAAATCGTAGATTGAAATAAAAATGTATGATATCGATATCCTCACTACTCCAAGGCAATTTTCCACTATTTAACAAAATTTACTCATATGAAAATATATCTATAACATAGCTAGCTTTAAGTCTTCTCGCAATACATTAAACATCAATCTCAATCAAATCAATTAATAATCAAATATAATTGGCCAATTCCATCATTAAGATAATGTTTTTGGCGCTTTAGCTCAAATGCCAAACTTGACATTCAATGCATTTATTTGTTAGATTAAAATGACAAGATCAGTTTGATATAATAATTTATAGAATTAATAGAAATCCTTTGGAATATTAAAATTTGAGAGAAAATTTAGTCCTTGGATTTTACTTTTTTTCTTCTTTATTTACGTTTTTTTCTATTATTATTATTATTTTCATCTTTTTGTTTTTTTTTTGTTTTTTGTTTTTTTGTTTTTTTGTTTTTTTGTTTGTTTTTTATGAAACACATTAGTATTCATAGTGCGTTACTGGTAATCTGCGAGATTGCTCGGTCGAAATCGATGAAACGTAAAGGCAATGCTTCGGGTTCGACAAAGAGTGAGAGGGAGCGAGTGAGCGGATGGATCCGCGAGAGGCAAGAGGATCGAGGCTCCGCGCTCGGGGCGTCGTGTGCCGGCTGCCGCCCGGGATGGCGAATCGAGGAGAAGATAATAGAAAATACCGTAGCGCAGGCTGCCGACAGTAATAAGGGGGAGGTAGAGCGTGATTTTATTTCGGGAGACCGCAGATCGAAGAGCGGAGTCGAAAAAGCGAGCGACCGCCCCGACGAATGATAAAATTGTGGTATTAAGTTGTTCGCTTTATGTGTATTCTCTGAAGTCCCGAAGTCCTCTTGATGACTCGGTCTCTCTCGCCTCATCACCCTGTCATTATCGACGAAGTGAGCGTTGAGCTGTCTAGGACATAGTTGAATTATATTCCCCTCCCATTCCTCCCTCGACCTCCCCCACCTCACACCCTGTCACCCCACCCTCTCTCAATCTATATATCTATCCATTCATCCATCCGTCCATCCATCCATCCATCCATCCATACATCCATACATCCATCCATCCATCCATCCATCCATCCATCCATCCATCCATCCATCCATCCATCCATCCATCCATCCATCCATCCATCCATCCATCCATCCATCCATCCATCCATCCATCCATCCATCCATCCATCCATCCATCCATCCATCCATCCATCCATCCATCCATCCATCCATCCATCCATCCATCCATCCATCCATCCATCCATCCATCCATCCATCCATCCATCCATCCATCCATCCATCCATCCATCCATCCATCCATCCATCCATCCATCCATCCATCCATCCATCCATCCATCCATCCATCCATCCATCCATCCATCCATCCATCCATCCATCCATCCATCCATCCATCCATCCATCCATCCATCCATCCATCCATCCATCCATCCATCCATCCATCCATCCATCCATCCATCCATCCATCCATCCATCCATCCATCCATCCATCCATCCATCCATCCATCCATCCATCCATCCATCCATCCATCCATCCATCCATCCATCCATCCATCTATATATACATAAACATTTTTATGGTTATTACAATTGGATCATTCTAATTATAATTCATACGTAATAAAGTATCCGCGTCTTATTCGACACTGGGAGTTTCATTGAAATGGTCGTGGACTTCATTCGATTTATTATATTAAAATATGATATCCGCGTTTCAATCTGCATTTCAATAATTTTTATAAATAATTTTAGCGAAATATAAATGATAGCGCTAATATTTTAACATTGAAAAGTAAATTATAAATTAAGCTGGGAAATATTTTTTAATAACAGAATATATTAATAAACTACCTCACCATATAATGTTATTTTCAATTTTTAAGTCGTCGATATTAAAAATTTATCATTTTTTATTTAACTTTTTATAAACAAAAAGAATCATAAGAACTAATGTCGAGTATATACATTACTTATACTAAAGTGGTTTACTTTACTTTACAACTATTTCATTATTTTTATGAGTTTTTTTTCTCTCAAAACATGTTCCTAGCAACTAGACTTATCGAGTCAATTGAAAGTTAGGTATTTAAAAAAGATATGCCATAATGGATCTGTAAATAGCCGACCAATCTAGTCCTTCCTCTCTCTCTCTCTCTCTCTCTCTCTCTCTCTCTCTCATTGACTGCTCTCTGCGATGATCGTTAAACGCGCATAGAGCACAAAATTCTGCGTTTCGCGAGACGATTTAAAGTCGTTATAACGAAACCGATCATTAGGAGAAGAGCAGAAATCATCGCCGAGTATTGGCGGTCGGAGAGAAGAGGGCTATATCAATTTTCAATCTACAATGATGTCTTTCCTTGTATCTGTGTTACAGCGCCCTCGATAAAATCATCGTCCAAGGATACAAAGCCCTACAGTTACAGTATTTCTTTACTGCTGGTCCTGACGAAGTCAAGGCTTGGACGATTCAGGTAATTTATATCAATTTGCGCTACCGCTTTATTTTAAAATACTTTTCCTATTTATATTTAGATTTAGGATTTGATGTTATAAAAATACACAACTATAATTACGTAAAGAAGTATTAAATGAAACAAGAAATCGTTCATTGGAATTAATTTTTCAAAAATATCGTTATTCAATCGGATATCGCAAATTGTTAGGGTTTCCGATTTACTTCATTCCGATCTTTAAATTAGTATGAATTTATTATGTAAATAATATTGTTAGGTTAGGTAATAATGATATCCATCCTAGTGCTCATATTTTCAATTATAATACTTAATAAACTTATAAGAAATGAAATAATAATAATAATTAAAAGAACTTACTTGTAAATAAATTATGATATAAAAATTACTAATGCAGATCTATTACGAACAAGCATATTTATGTTATATTTGCAAGACTTAAAGCATAAGACAAACTTAAAGACCAGACGAAAGTGTGCTTTTCAAGTTTTCAAGTATTTATAAAATAATTCCAATCATTTCATACTTAGCTTATTGTTTTTATTAATTAAATTTATAATTTTATTATTTCGTGACTATATTAAGGATTTTTCGGATAAAGTTATTACTTTATCGTAAACGTATTTCATAGCATTCAATATCTCAAATGATGAGCAATCTAAACCTAATGAATAATTAATAATCGTAAGGTATGATTTGTTTTTTCGATAAAATATTTCGCACGATCAATACAATTTACGAGTATCGATTGTTATTATTTGTACTGTTTGAACATAATCTCGACGAGTTGAGATTTAAAAAAAAAAAAAAAAATGATAGCTGAATTAAGATAAACATGATTTTATTTGTTTATCATCGATTAACGGGCAACAAAGATTTTTCAGCAATTTTTTAATATAAATATCAGTATGGTAAAACAACTTAATACCATAATAGCCCATTATAAAAATTAATTTCAAAATCATTGTTAATCATGATTAAATTGGTTAAATATTTATTAAACTATACCACAATGCATTTAGCTTATTTCTTATTGATATAATAAATTTCTATTCCCCATCTGAACAATTGTCCATGCATTATTTATTATTCTTTCAGAAAGGAACAAAAGCACCACAGGCTGCTGGCAAAATTCATACTGATTTTGAAAAAGGTTTTATCATGGCCGAAGTCATGAAATTTGATGATTTCAAAAACGAAGGTTCGGAGGCAGCGGTAAAGGTAACAATGAAATGGCGCATCTACTGCTCTATTCTCATTAAAAATATAACTTGTTGATAAATATGCTAAAGTCTTATTAATATTATTAACAGGCAGCGGGTAAATACCGACAACAGGGACGAAATTATATTGTCGAGGACGGCGATATAATTTTCTTTAAATTTAATGCCGGTGCTGGTTTAAAAGATCCGAAGAAAAAGTGATTACCAATGGTAGAATCGTACGGATCTTCTCCAACTTGTGAATATCTGATGTTTGTGATTCTACGTTCGTTGGAGCGTAATGGCTGGTCAATAAATCGGCTGAATTTCTCACTTTCATTCGAGATTTCTTTACTCTATACGTGTGTATAGATTGCATTTTGTTGTGCATTTCATCCCTATTCAGAATTACTTTTAATTTTACGTGATAGTTGAAAATGAAACATTGATATTGTATTTTTTTTCTCAAACAATGACTTTGTGATTTGATGATTTGAACGCACGATCAATTATAGAATTTGTATAATAAACGCTTTACTTTATTATTATGATTATTATTATTTTACAATATGCTCATTAGAGATTGGCAATGAAAATTTTCGTTTTATTTATATCATGAATAAAATATATGTTTTATAAGCATGCCTCTGTGAATAATTCAACAAAGTAAATAAATGCTAAGGACATTTATCTGAATTACAGTGCAAACGAGCTATCGTCACAAGATGTCAGCACTTGAATAATTTTTAGATTCCATCCAACTTAATGTCCTACCGTCGGTAAATTAGATTTCGTTAGTCACTAGAACGATCACTGTAATAACAGTGTCTGATAAATTTTTATATCACAATTACGCAATTAATCTCTTCACTTATCAACCATATATATTTCTATTTTTATTTTAAGGAAAAGCAGCTTTCAAACATTTTCCGATGTACTATTTAAAAGTCGAGATTTTAACCACTCGTAAAATTCCACTTCCAGTTTCAAAAAATCCATCAAGTGTTTTTTCGTTAGCGGCTTTAATATTGTTGAATTATTAAAAAAGTTTTTCTTCTTTGGTCCTGAAAACAAAAAAAAACATGAAAATTAATAATAATTATCAATCATAATGCGATGATAAATCATAAAATTATTTCTAAGTATGATAAGATTGAATTGTAAACATATAATTAAAAGTTGACAATTTTTAAAAAATATTTATTTTATATTTATCGATAAAGTTGCATTAGTTACGTTATTATAAATAACGATAATATTTTATCTTATCTAAATGGACATGGGATAATAAAAAATAAATATTCTACAAAGATAATTTGTAAATGTTAAAAAAAATTTGAACTCATTGTACTTGTTTATATAAAAAAGATATCGAGTAAACAGAATATACTATTCTATCAAAAAATAATTATTGAAAATGATTTTTCTTATGATTTTTTATGTTAATTAAGTTATTATTGTTTCAAATTTATATAACAATAATTACGAAAACATTTTATTTATAAGTTAGTATAATAACTAATTTAAACATATTAATTTTATAAATATAGCATTTTAATGGTAATTATTTAGGAAGACTTATCGATTGCCATTATTATTATTATCACGATTAACACACTCTCTCTCTCTCTCTCTCTCTCTCTGTGCGCGCGCGCGCGCGCGCGTGTGTGTGTGTATGCATGCATGCACGTATAGATAAACGACAATGACTTACGAATTTTTTCGTACATAAGTGAAGCACCTTCAAAGAAATATGGGAAATTAACTTCTAAACTCTTCACTGTTTGGTTCATGTGATCCAAAATTCCCACGATAGGATACCATTTGAGTACATTAGCTTTGGCTTGCTGCAACGCCCAGGCATTATTTCGTTCCCTTCAGGACATATTTCAAGCGTATTAATGGCAAATTTCATTATCATTGTTTTATATAAAAGTATTATAATAATAAAAATATGCAAGATGACATAGTGAGATACAATATTGAGAAGTAATAAAGAAACAAATGTTTCGAATAAAATATATTCATAACCAATATTTATTTATCCTGCGGACTTATCGATTTGTATATATTACGTAATAGAGTCAACGTTACTCGAATATAAAAGATTTTCCACCAAAATTCCCGAATGATTATTCTAGCTGATAAATGACGCAATACTTAATAGGCATAAAATTTTCGATACTTCATGGAATTTAATGTCATAGAAACGTAGTGAAATCATAAATTACTTGAAAATATGCTTACTATATAATGTTTTTTAATATGCACATAAATTCTAAAGTTTTGTTTTTCATGAATAATACAATGAAATATTATAATGAAAACCGCCTTCAATTAATATTAAATTGATTTATTAAAGCAAATATATGCGCACTTCTTCAAGAGATTATAAACAAGATTTTTGTTCAGAATATGATACATATTTTTATTGTCTTACCATATAAAATTAAAAAAAAAAAATTATTTATCCATTTAAATCAATATCCTATAAAGACATTACTTTTGATCAAATGATAAACTTGGCTAATATTGTAAAAAAAAAATTTTATTTACACCTATACGTTATCATCACGTATAATTTTCTAAGATATATGATTTAATAAAAACAAAATTTAAGAGAGATTTTAAAAATCTTTTAAATTATGGCGTATTAATCAAAGAGTAGATAAATTTTGTCTAATATTAAATTTGATATTTATAATACTACTACTACTGCTACTACTACTGCTACTACTAGTACTAATAGTAATTATAATAAACGTATTTTGGAAATGTTATAAATAATATTTCTAATAATATTGTACAATTCAACCAGGCTTTTAAGTATTATATGTTTAATTGTGAATGACAACGATGTTAAATGGTAATATAATTCTATAATAAATCGAAATTTGTGTAAATATATTTTCAAAAGTTGGTTATAAAATTTATGCACAAAAATAATTTTAAGTGGCTCTATAATAATTTCGTTATATTGCATTGCGTTCTAAATAATTTATTTAAGAAAAACTTTTGATTCTCTGTAAATGTAATCGATGCAAATGCTCCATACAAAAAAAATATTGCTCTATAACTTTTTGATACGCAATTTACTTTAAAACATTAGCAGCTTGTTTGCGTTATCAAATATGTTGAATATAAGATGTATCGTACCGTGTATATATACCTTGATAAAACTTATTTTATTACTAGCAAATATAAGTATTAAGATAACAATGTGCGCCATCTCATGATTTTATTATCATTTCTATGTGTTTATGTTTATCAAAATGTATTTAGCAATTTAGCTATAAAGAAGATATTTCATATGATAAACTTAAAGAACGTGATTTCAACATATTTCTAAAATGATTATACCATGAATAGTAGTATAATAAAATAATTATCTATAATTTTTATCTATTGTAAATATGTTTTATAACAAAAGTATTAAGCACAAAGGTTTATCATAAATTACTATAATAAAGTGTGCCATTAATGTATAAAATTTAAATGCATATATATAGTTGATAAAACCATACGATAAATAATTTGACATTCTAGTTTGGAAACCTAAATTTCATTTTAAGCTCGAGTTATGTAACTCAATTTAATCGCGTCGATGATTAAATTCTACGTAGTTACGGTATCGAGCTCTTTTGTATCATAAAATTTGTTTGCCCAACAACTAAGCTTTGCATCAACTATGTAAATTCACAAGACATTTTAAGCGAAAACGTAACTTTTATTAAAAGAAAAAAGAAGTAAGAAAAAAAAAAAACTAATTTATAAGTCGTTTACGATGACCAATGAATGAAAGAACTTTAAATTCTAAAGGCACTTACGAGCAGCGGGAATCGTGTCCGCAGAAATGACATATCGAGCCTCTATAAATTGTAACTGAATCGCCTCTCTTAAACCTACGAAGAAAAGAAAAATAATTCCAGTTTTAATCTAAGTAGTTGAACATTTGCTTCGTCTGTATATTTAATTTCGTGAGCTGCGTTAGAATTTCTTATGTATTGAAATGAATGGGTATTGTAAATTCAAAATCTCTTCTTTCCAAGATTATCTCCTATTGAATATCTACATGTACATCACATTTTTATGATAATATACGTTTAAAAATAACTATTTTGATGTTTTGTTGTTTGAAGGAGAAAAGGGGCTATTGAACATTATAGATATTTTAATAATGGGGATAATAAATTTGTGTGAAGAATATATCTAAATCACCTTTAATTCAAATAAATTCAAATAATTTTTTATCCATTTAAAGTGATCAATTCGAAGTGTCTCAGCACTTGATAAATTTCAATAGAAAAATATATATTTTTGTTTATGCATCGGCCCATACATTTTACTATTAAAATTTGCTTTTCTTTTTTTTTTTTTATTATCATGTAGGAATTGTTGAAGGGATTTTCTTTGCTAAAAGTATTGTTATTCGATCTTAATAATTCAATGATTTATTGCACATTCGATTAATCGATTACGATTATTTGTCTTTTACATTTTTCTTAACTAATCTTCTTGTAATCTTATAAAACTAATCCAGGCGTAGAAATTTAAAATAACAATTTGTTATTCATTAGGCTAATTGAATGTCCAGTTCATTGTATTTCAGCAGCTTAGTTTGTAATTGTTTTTTAATTTTTCAATTTACTTATGCGCTTTTTTATTTTGTTATTTATTTTCAGTGACCTACATTTTTGTAATATTTTTCAATAGACGTTGTTTTATATTTTCCCAGAGCTACCGAGAGTATTACATTTTTACGACCATTACATTATACGAAAAATCATTAATATTTTGATAGTAAATAGATAAAATAAGAATATAATTTTATTGTATAATCATTTTTATGTGCACATTCGATACGATTTTTGTAATCAATCATTGTAAATTTTCGAATTTCGTATTTTCCGGACGTAGTGAATTTTAGTTGAATTTTCTTATTAAAAAATTATCTATAAACAGTATGATTCTACGTAAAAATTCCTTATTTAACGTTTCGTCGTTTAAAGGTTTATTTATTAATGCTTAATAATAAATGTTTATTGGCAATATAATTTTGTTTGTCAGTCTATTTTATGGAAAATGATCTGCGTGCATTAGAATTCAAACTGTTGGTTCTCAAGACATTCCTTTTCTATTTCCTCCGACCTAAGAATCAAACGATGTATTTCGTAATAAAATACATTTGATTAAATACACGAATTATCATTATAGAAGAATTTTCCTCTTATTTGAACTTTGTATCAACAACATAATTGTATATACATAGTTTTATTTTGTGATTTGGTTAATATCATCTTAATTAGAAGGGTTAATTATTATTTTGTTTTTAAGAAAAGTACAAACTATTTAACTTTGAATAGATAATTGCCCGCCTATAAAGGTAAGGAAGTAGTTACAAAAGTACTTGAAAAGTACTTGAAGAAGAAGTAATTGTTGATTTAATGAATTGAAAATTAAAATGCTGACATGTGAGTATTGCTTAGATGATGTAAGTCTAACTTGTTTATTTTACTTAATGAAAGGTTTTGAAAAGTTTATTGCTGTAAAGCGAAAAAGATTAAATAAAATTATATTCGTAAATACTATAATAATTAAGTTAATTATACTTTTGCTTATTACATTGTTAAATTTTGCATAAATCATAGATTATAAAGTAATTCTACAAAAATAATCAAATGTATATTACGTGATATTCAAATTGTTCAATCAATTGCATTTTTTTTACGAAATGACATATAATATTACATAGCACCGGAGATTTAAAGATTTTATCTACCAAAAGAACACATCTTCGTGTTTTTGTTAATTTCCATTGAGAAGAAATTTGGAATGTCGATATGTAAAACAAAAAAAATAAAAAAAAAACAAAAAACAAAAAAAAACAAAAAAAAAAGGAGAAAAAATGAGGAGAAGAGCAATTGAAATTGATTAAGAATTAAAGTATGAAAAGAATTACAACTACAATTAATTAAAAATGCATTACATAAATTGTAAAAAGATTTGTCATAGAAAACAATTTAACAATTAATTTGACTATTATATAAATTATAATTTTACAATTCTTTTCGAAAGACGATTATTCATCGTTGCGGTATTGTTGCGTAATAATTTTATCGATGATATGGCATATGTCCGGCAATAGCGTGAATACCAGCAATTATTCTCGTACAGTGGTATGTCATACAACCGGCTGATCGTAAGTAAAGTAATATCTAATAACATTAAAAGGAAGTGAAACTTGTAAATTTATTTAATTGAACAATAATGATATACCTGTCCAAGGTCTTGGGGTCCAGCGGATCTCTAACCAAGGAAACGTACGTTGGCGATTGTCGGCCGAACGCCGAAAAGTTTAAGAATCGGACGTCACCGTCGAACGATAGAGGAATCGCCTCCTGCCTTATAATACTTGTTATCTCCTCGACTAAGAGCTCCTGGGAAAAATACGAATCAGTCCTGAATGAGCGTTTAATACTTGTTATAAATAATAGACCTGGTATCTGTCGCCGCACATCGGTCAATCGCGCACTTTGACCATTTTTACAGTCTCGTTAAAAGTGGCCAAAAAATATACGTCGTCCCAATGAGTAACCAGTTGGACCAACCAGTTACAGCGTGACGCAATTACAACTCATAGTACAACGCCGGGAAATGCTTGTACGTACGCTCATTATGCTGGGCTCGGGACACGCGAGGCGGTTGCGATATTCTCGCGCTCGGACAATTCGCGCGTAACGTTGTTCCGGGCGGGATCGAGGAACCGAAATGGAAAAGGATAACGAATGGGCCGTCGTGCGTGCACAGCGGTGCGTGACTCTGCTATCATTGTACACTTATGACGATGTCGCGAGAATTCGATTGTGCCATCGGGAACTTTAGCGCACGGAGTAGAAACGCAGCCGTTAAGTTGCCGTCGATATAAGAAAGCCTCGTACACTCCCTGTTAAAATGTGAAATTCTTTTCCCGATTTGGCTACTTGATGATTTGAAATTGCTTATCCATTTTTGTTCCAAAACATATACATTACACACTACACACAATGTAATTCCGTGCATTGTGTTTGTTTGTTTGTTTGTTCGCGTGTGTCAATGTCAATACTCTTACTTAATATTAATTTGACAGAATCGTATTTAAGAATGTAAAAATAGCCTTAAAATAGATATAAATCGGCATAATCGAATCATCAATATAATTGATGGTCACACTTCAAAAGTAAAAAGAAAAAAAGTCTTAAATTTTTTTCAACGATGATTTCAGCTTAATATTAGTGTAATTATCAACAGATTCATATTGAATTTAATTGATGCAGCAAAGTGTTTAAGACTACCTTTAATGCATAAAATCTTGAATGATAGAGTATTCGGGAATGCAATGTAATGTAGAATTTATAAATGTTTGTGTATAATAATAACATTTGTTATTACTAATTGGCTTCTTACATAATACAAAAATTATTCATAGTTTCTTTTCATTTTTAACTTGGTAATATAATGCCAATAACGTTAATAAACAATTCCTTTCTTTCTTCCTTTCTCGGACTTTCTCGTTATTATAAAAATTTATACTACAATTAATACACTGGTATATTGGCTACCATACAAAACACCTGCAAGAAAGTCGTTAGCTGTGCTAATTATTAAATAAAAATCTTATGCGTCACGAGAATACGAGCATGTGATTAATGCGTTAACAAGCTTCTTCGAAGCTCAGCCTCACATTTACTCTTCCCACACGACTAACTGGGCAGCAGATTAAAAAATAAGTCGAATAAATCCAACGCTACATTACTTCTAGCCTCAAAACATCCCGCGTAATTATAAATTAATTTTAACGGAGAGAGAGAGAGAGAGAGAGAGAGAGAGAGAGAGAGAGAGAGAGAGAGAGAGAGAGAGAGAGAGATAAAACAAGAAATTATAAAGCCATGCTATTTGGAATGGCGTTGTAGCTCCCGAGGAAGAATTATGTTGCGAGCTCCTCGTCAAAGTACAAGCAGTTGCGCGCTCGATAATTATTCGCAAGAGGTTGCGCAAATCGAGCGATCGAACGCTCCGCATGAAAGGCATTGTCGATCTAAGCCGCTTAGGCAACAAGTTGGCGAATCCACAGACTCACGAATGAGAGAAAAGTGTAAGGCGGCGAGAGAAGAGCCGCGACCTCTGAAAGTTCAAGACGCGCTCGCGCCGACTGAAAGTTTGAGATTTCATCGGCGGAACAAAGAGCTTTGTGCTGAGGTACTCTTGAGCTTATGTAATGTTCGGCGAAACTCTCCCGTGGCGCCTTTCATATCCATACCTTTTCACACTCCACTCCTTATCCAATATTTTTATTCTCATATTTCATTCTCATTATCATTTTGCTCGTCCGCGTACAAGTGTCCTTTACTTCCTATCTCGTACCTTCGAAGCTATTCGTTGAAGGGAGCATTTTATTTATTCTGCCCGATCGCCGAGTTTTGCCTGAATGTAGGATTAATAATCAGTGAGAATCTCAACAATTTTATGGCTCAATCGCAACATTTTATGGCTCAATAGGTACTAATTAACTCGAGCTGATTATTTTTATAATGATTACATAAGTAAGTGCATTTTTCTAAATTAACATTCAATGGACAAACCAAAAAAGTATTACTCGAATGTACATACGGTGCACAAATACACGCTTTAATTGTAAAATTTTTTGTGAAGAAAGTTCCCTCGCATATTCGCAAATTTTCCTTTATCATTCATAACGAATAATTATAGTATTAATTAGATGAATGATGTATAAAAATGGTCTCGATTGATTGTTTGATGACACGTGATATTATGCTCATTTTCATCATCGAAATCGACAATTCAAATGATTCATAAAACTCAATAATAGACTTATTAAAAGTTATTGCATATTTTCTCGCTCATAAAAAAAAAAATAACTCTTTGCGTTTTTAATAGATGCAATCGAAAGTTATTTAATTGATAGTTTCATGTGCAATTTCCGTAGTGACGTTTGTTCGCCAAAAATGGAGAAGAAATGTTTCTTCGTTTAATCAACCAATCGTATGCAGAATTATAATTCGCGCGTCCAAGAAAAATTATAAACAATTATATTATATAGCAATGAAAATACTACAAGTCGCGCATTTCAACATGCCATTATTTATGTAAATATTGTGCCTACTTATGCACCGTCGAGCATTTACGAATTAATTAAATATTCTCTCGCGTGACATTTGCATTTAACCGAATATATTACAATTCTATTTTTGTTTTCTTCATTCCATCTAATGATGATAAATTATCAATTTTTGAATTAAAGATTTAAAAATTATTCTTTCCAATGCGTTAATCGTCTTATTTCCATCGTAATATAATTATAACTTTTATTATAATTAACTAGTAATATTAAATAGATGATAAACATTAGTGTGATTTCATGAATAATTAAATTACATTTCAGATTCACATTTGTTTCTGATGCTTAACATGTAAATATGTATCAACAGTCAACCTGTTAACTGTCTTTACCTTTGAGCTAAAAAGTTTTATAATTACCGTTACGTATGGAATATTTATTTGTAAATAAATACCGTCATCGACTAGTCGATCCATTAAATTTTAAAATTTTCAATAAATGTCTTTTACGATATTTAATATATAAATAATAATGAAAATACGACGTATAAAAATTGCAATATAACTAATTACTCAGACAAACTAACTTCCCAGCCGAATGTAATAATTAATTCGATAAGCTTATTATTGAAATTATAGAAAGTTTGTGGAAAAATTGTATTAATTCCTCTGAATTTTCACACTTGAGATTCATTATCTAAAAATTATATTTTTTCCTCGTTACTTATTGTATCAATTAGTGACGAAAAGTTTAAACGACCTCGCCACTATTTCTCCTCTCGTTCTTCAAGAGAGAATAATAATACATGATAATCATTAGACCAACAAGGACTCGTGTGAAACATTTTGCAATTACCCGTTGGAGATAATGCGCTCGTGCGTCTTTAAAGTTTTTATCTCAACGCGCACGGCAGCATTAAAGAAAGTTGTAGTATAAAATGTTAATGTAGCACGGCACGATTAACGTTAAATAGAATAATAATTAATTGGCGATTACCGAGGCGAACGAACGTCAATTTATTATGACATTTCCAATACTTTGTATCTCTAATTCACTCTGCCACATATACGAGTACGAACATCAACTTTAGGGCGACATTATATTTTAATAATTTTTCCTAATAGCTGTAATGAGACTATATTTATAAAATTTATGTCCATTAATATTACAATTTTAATGAGTTGACGTTAATTAATTTCATTTTAATTAATAAATCGATGAAATTTGATAAAATGTATTGTACGGTGGAGTATGTCCTCTATAATAAAAATACGCCTATATCGTTAAAAAGCTTGTGGGCTCAAATTTTCAATATCTTTCAATTCGGAATAATTTACAATTTATTATGACGATCGCGTTCTTACTAATTACCATTATATTGAAAAGTATTGTCACCGACTAGTTTTCACTTTAAATATTTTATTACTGCCTACTACAGTGCGCTGCTGTATTTATTTGTAAGAATGTAAAATAAATCTTGCTATTCGTGAATTAATTTTTCCCGACTATTATTTACGTGTATATCTTATTTAAATTATATTACACAATGTACTCCAATAAAAAATTATTCGTTTCAAATTGTTCAATTAATTTGCTTTTACATATTATATTATTGCTTAACAACTTTTTCGATTTATCAATTTAAATATCCCTTCTTCCCGTGAATAATATTTATTAAATTAAAAGTTCTAATTCAAATATTTACATTGGCCATGTGGCCGTAAAATGTTGTAATTAAAGAGCCTATTAATTGCCCGTTCCCGGTGAAAGTTATGGAAACAAAATGAATGAGACTTACAAAGTTCTGCATAAGTAAAACGTAATTCATTCGGCAATAAAGTGCAATTGTAAATCATAGGGTATCGTGAGAAATAAGCGAAACTCTTCTCGACATACTAGGCTTATGTCAGCGTCAGGCTTATCTGCTTAAAGCCAAGTACTTGGTACTTAATCGATCATTATCACGATAAGCGTAACTTTTAAGTCGCTGCTTAAAGGCCATTAAATAACTACAAGTCCCAAAGACTCGTGTGCACCGCTACACGTAATAGCTCATCTCGCCTCGGATATTAATTCGTTTTTATTACTGACCGAGGCCATTCAATTTTTCATCAACGCTATTTCATCGGACTATGACCCAGTGTCCGCTGACATTTATGCCTCGAAAATTAATATCTTTAGCTGCACCGCTAATACACGGCATTTTCCATCTCTGCTCGTTTCGCAATTTTCACTTACTCCGAGCGATTGAAAAGTAGCATGTGCCATGCTCGATTAAATTTGTCGGCTTGTAAGAATTGCAATTGTCCAATCTCGGTACATAAAATATCGGCTCCGACGGCCTAAAAGGAGTTTGCCCGGCAAAATGAGCGACCCGCGACTTTGGAGTTCGGATGGGAATAGCTGGTCTAGGTGTCGCAAGGTGGCTTAGAGGCTCCTCGACGTTTAGCATACCTGCTGGAGGCTACTGAGCGTCCCCTCATCGCCGGGTGGTAGTCTTATATGCTTGAAGGCGTTGTAGCCCTGGAGGTGCTGGAGCAGCAATACGAGGAGCTCCGAGCCGGAGCCCGGCACCCGCGTCACCATCATCACGTGCTCGTTCGTCTCGGGTATCAGCGCCCGATTCCCCAGCTCAGCGAGCGACCGTGTGACGTAGCGCTGCGTCTTAATGAAAAAGTCGTGAGTTTTGGTGTTTGAGGTGAAAGAGCACAAAATCTAATTACTCGAGCCACTCAAGCTCTTTTCTCGCTTCATGTGGCACTGTCCCTATTAAACGGTGTACGGATGACGACGCTGATTTCCAGCATCACAAGCACGCGCGCACGTTTCCATTAGAATTCATTTGGAACTCCGTTTTTTAGTGCGACAATTAACTTTGTCTTTTTCAACAAAACATTGCCTCTTTACTTTATCCTCTCTATCGTAGCATAAAATTACCTATAGCTACATTTCATTTGAAAAGTACTAAAAAGAAATAAATAGATAAGAAAAAAACTAAAAAAATTTGGTTAAATATAAATAATACATTGGATCAACTTGTCAATTGATTTATTGAAAATGTATGATTTATTATTTGCCCTATAGCCGTCGTGATGTAATGCACTATTTGCTCGTCTTTATTGAAATGATTTATGTTTGGACAACTTATTGCCTGTTTACTAGTTTAAGTTTTTGTTCCTTAAATGAGATAGTACTTTTTATGTTGAATGTATGCTCAAGCAATTTATTTCTTTGCATAACCGAACATTAAAAATACGGTAAAATTAAATTGTTTGAAACTGCCTGCCTTTCCAAGGATTGCGCCACGTGCGCATTATACAAAAAAATCATTACAGAATATTTTGATTGGTATAAGATTACATTATTATAAACATTAAATGAAATTATTTATACATATTATAAGAAATATTATAAAGTCTACGAGACTGCCATTCTTATCATTTGTATTAATTTTCTACAAGTATTATATATGTAATTTGTTGTTTAATAAATGAAAAAGCGAATTTGCCAGTTGTATTAGTACGCGTGATTTAATCTCGTTGCATTTTAATTGTGCCATTTTAGTCGATTAAAAGGACAGTGATCAAGAATTTTGGAAAGTGTAGTAATACGAAATATTTAAACTACTCACTAGAAATAAATTATAAATAGAAATTTATATATATATATATATATATATTAATTAAAAGTTAGAGCAACATTTACAATAAAAATTGCACATTCATGCATATTAAATAAATAAACCATTTCGTTAAATCCCTGTTTATATTAAAGATATTTCCATAGAATTTGTTTAATTTGTTTTATCTTACAATGAAATTATAATATGTGACATGACAAATATATTTCAACAATTTGAGACAAAACTTATTAAATTTTGACAGTCCTTATTACTTCTAAACGTTCGTATTAAAAGTCTCGGAAAATATTACGAGACTCTATTTTCTTACAATTTTACTAATTTCTATTGTAATTTTAACAAGAGAGCTCTCAAGTGTTTTAACTAATTATTATTCGTTATCGCTATCAGCCTAAAATTCTAGTCCCTATATTTCTATAATTATTAATTAAAAAATAAAAATAAAAATAAAAAATAAACTTCATAGTAGCACAAAAGTATATTTGCCATTTATTTAATAATACAACGAAGCACAAGACTGTATAGCGCAATTACATAATTATTATCACAAAATCAATATCCGCTATTAAGTATCATTATTTAATCGTTATTTTTTAATAGTTAAATCCAAATCTATAAGCGATTATCCTCTCTTCTCAAATAATCGATTTCCATCCTTTTAACACGGAGAAATTATGAAATATAAATATAAAATAATATGAAGTACATTGACAAAAATTGAAGAAAAAGAAAAAAAAAATTGAAAACATATAGTGCATATAGTTGTTTCTTCCCAAATCGTTGCATAACTTGCAGAAGTGACATTATTTTTTTCTGAGCGAATACTTTAAGCTCCATGTATTTCATTGGGAATTCAATTTAATTAAAATGGCACAAAATATATAATGAGCAATTTCATAATGTAATATGCAATTTTCAGTCTCGGCATAAAAAGTAGGTGCCACGCGATCCTATTAGTTGGGAAATTACAACCTTCTCGGGTCAAAACAAGATTTTCATCTCAGCTTATCGACTTTTCATGCAGCAGCGTATGTTCTCAGCATTACCGATTCTAAAAAATATCACAACAAGTAGGTAGCGGGCATTTTTTTGCAGTCAAGTGCTCCTCGCATCAATACTTTCTAATTGGCATTAAAAAAAGTTCACTTAGGATTTTCTAATCAAGTGGAAGATTATTATATTTCATCAATTATTTTAATGTTTTTCGATCTTCCATTATTTATTTTGGCGCCTCGATTAGCTAACAAGAATAAGATAAAGGTAGACTTTAATGAATGGCACGTTCAATCGTATCTTTGTCACTAAATTAGCTTAAGTTCATCGGATATTGGCGTTGGCTAACTTCGGACGATCAAACCCTATGAAAATGTAAACGAAAATGTAAAAAATTTTTACCAAATACAGACGAGTTGACTATAACCTTGGCAATCATCTGCTCATCTGCCCCATAAACATTTACTCATCCATGCTTTTTCATCCCCCATCAATGTACTATTAATTTGCTCGATAATATAATTTTAAGCGAACGTCGTCCGTTTCCCGTCAACGCGTTATCCCCCATAACGACCCATACCAATATACATTCTCTTGCATTAAATCTTCAAAGTCTGATTACTATTTAAGCCCAATTTTATTACAAAACTTTCATCTCAACGAACCTGTCCGATTAATAACTAACCGATACCCAATTTAAAACTAAAAAACATTCGCGTCAACAATTTATCATACTTGCACGAGTACGCCTAATGCCACACTTCGCCCCCGCCTAAATATATCCTCGGCCCGTGTTAACTGCACATTTCAGCGATTCGCTCTACAATCGCGTTAACGGCAAAACAAACGCTTTATTAGCCAGTCGGTCTATATTTAAAATTGCTACTTCGACTTCTCTCTCACCCCTCCCATCTCCCCCGGCCACCTCATCGCCCACTGTCTCGCGTTTCTTGCTTCACTGCGCCGCCTCGAACTGCCCTCTCGCAGCCTCCCGCCGCTGTCTCTTACTTAACTTTTCAGTAACGCGAAATAAAAAGCGAAGCTCCGCCGAGTGGTTACGCACGCGTGATACGGATAACGCGCGTACGGCGAAGCAAGAGCTCGATCGGATCTCGTCGGCGTGCAATTGCGGAAAAGTGCTTTCACCGCTGCGTCTCGCGGCCCGAATTTACCGCGCGCCACTTCGTCTTTGCCGCGCAACACACGCACCCACGGGCTATGCGCGTCTACCAAGCGTTCGCAAGCCGAGTCCGTCACCTTACGTAAATCTAGCGTTAATTTTTTCTTTTCTTTCTTTTTTTTTTCTTTTAATGAAATCGTCTCGTTAATGTCGCTGCACTTCTGCCATTTGTCGTCGCTTGATTTTCCAAGCGGGAAATTAAGTGACAGAGAAAATGAAGTGGTGGAAGGGCTAGGGTGGATCGAAGAATGTCGAATTCTTCTTCCTTAGTATAGCAGAGAGAGAGAGAGAGAGAGAGAGAGAGAGAGAGAGAGAGAGAGAGAGATATCAGCTTTTCAACTATTAAGGAGATGAAACTGTCATATAATTGCGTACGTTATTACTGAAATACGCGGCAGTTTTACGTCAACCTTACGGAATTTATGGCTCTAAGTTTTTAGTTGTGAGATAATTCGCGTTGGAACCGTCCATAAGAATGTCGATCGATGTATCTATTATGGCGAGTTTTACTTTTTATGCTTCGCTTTTCATAATAACTACAATTGATTAAGGATTGAAGTTTGAATGGGCGATGGTTCGATGTCAGTCATTTATGGGAAATAAACAAAACAGACACAAAAAGAAAAAGAAAAAAAAATCATTGATATAATTATTTGCTATGAAATAGTATTATGGAAAGGAGAAAACTATGTACGATTTAATTTTCATTACTATTGCATTCCTCCCGAGGTATTATTTTAATATTCGAGGCTTATTGCATCAATCCCGTATGTACTTGAGCGCGCTCGTTACCATTACCATTCAAATTTCATTTAAAATTAAATTTTGTTCTACGCTACATTACCGAACGATGGTATTATTAATTAAATTATAAAGCACAATAGATTTATAATGCTGAGTAAGACTTGTTGTAATAAAAAATTTTATTGATAGCGAAAATGAAGAGTTACTTTTGAATTTTTTCAAAACAAATAATTTGAATAATTCGCTTTAATAACGCGCAAATACAAAGCAATGAGGCTTCGATTCTAAATAAATCAGCCAACCGTTTAATCAACATAATAACGGACGAGATACTTTAACGTAAAAATTTCATTGCTCGTTGTTTCTAACTAATTAAGTTGACGTCGTTACTGCTGCTCATTACAGCCAATAACGTCGATAATCCAATGAGCATTGATATACGCAATACCAAAATGTTCAAGAGGTAGTACCGTTCATCCCTGACTCTTAGTTAACTCGTCCAAACTTAGAAAGACTTGGCAATCGCTTTGTCGCACACTCGCAAGGCAAAAGCGCTGCATTCGCCGCTATAAATGCCCGTCCACGGCTAGCGATAGACACCCCGTGTACCTGTTTTTCCGTTTTCCTGGTGCTCGCTTTAGCAGACCCGGACTCGTACGAGTCCTCGGTTCGGTAGGCCCCGTAGACCTCGGCCTCCTCATTAGCGGCGATCTCCGCCTCGTCCTCCACGAGGACGAGCCGCGTCGCGAGGACGAGGAAAGCCATGGTCAAGGCCAGGCAACCAAACAAGGATACGCCTCGGTATTTGCGCATACTGCTCGGCTATGCTCCCCGCTGTCCGTCTTAACGACGAGAGGCGCTCTCCATGCTGCCCCGGCGAGTAGTCCGGAGTTCCGCGGGAGCACCTCGGGCAGCTTCAGCGCGCTCGAGTCCAACGAACCGACTGAGCCGCGAGTTGGAGCGAGTGTCAGTGGGTCAGTCGCTTGCTGCGCGGGCCAGAATCCGAGGGCCCAGTCCGGGTAAAAGTCGAATAGCAGCCTCCGCTTCTCCTTCTCTCTCTCTCTCTCTCTCTCTCTCTCTCTCTCTCTCTCTCCACCCGTTCCCCACCAGGCGTCGGCCTTTTCCATTGCGAGACGATGCGCGAGGAGATGGATGCACCCTTTCACGCCTCTTTCCTCTTTCCTCGTAGCGGTGATCGTCGAGGCCTCGTTACGTGTCCGGGAGGACCCGGTGTCGGGAGCACGTGCAGACACTCGATTTTGAGGGACAACGACGGACTTGGAATAACGAGAAGCGCGAGAGTGCCGTTGGGCGAACCGAGACTCTTGCCTCGGGAACGCAGGAGGCATTGGAGTCTAAAGGTTGTGCTTGGCTAAGATGGGAGGAAGCGCACTGAGAACCTCTGCTCGTTCCATGTAAATACGTAAATTAAGGAACTATTGGCCCAGTGGAACATTGCTCAGCCAAACTGCTTCCAAGCGTACATTATTTATTAATTAACAGAGCGAATCTCAGCAGTCGCTGTTCCCTTGCCCCCTTGCCAGCACTTTCGAATCGTTGAACAAGGATACCGATGGCTTATTCTAACTACTTTCTTAATCTATCTCGGAAGTCGCTTTAGTTTCTCTCTTCCGCGGTTGAGCATTGGATATTCCTTCGATTATCCCGGAGTATCAAAACTATTGAGCGTGGCGATGCCGAAGTGGGAATATTTGTAGGAGCGAGTCTGTTGTGGGTTGGGAGGGGGTGGTGTGTGTGTGTGTGGGGGGGGGGGGGAAGGTATATAATTTTAAGCAGTAGGATTGATAAGCGATTATTGTCTAATAACAAGAAGATGATCATACCAAATATCAAAATATTCTTCGCTTCATTATTGTTCTGTAATCAAGTATTACGAGTGGGACGATTAATTATCAATTATCTTTAAATAAATTGTCAAACGTATAAATAAACGAAACTATTAAAAGTTAAATTTAAGTAAGTGTTTAGCATAATTATAAATTGTTCCTATCGAATTTTTTGCTTTACGTAGAAGGTTATTAAGACAATCTAAATAATAGATATTATTTGGTAGAGATTCGTTAGGGACGTTTTTTTTCTGCTTTTATTCTGATTCGCGAAATTTGCACCCAATCGTTTTTGCAGTGATTTAAGATTTTTCTCCACAAATATACGGAAGGAAATTAATTATTTAAATTTCATAGGAATTTTCAAATTGTATATCACAATAAAATATTCAAAAAGAAAGGTTGTTGAACGCAAATTCATCTCCATGTTTTATACACTTTTATGTAATTTATATAATTGTAAATGGCATGTAATGAAATTACATATACATATGATTAATTTTTTCATTGATTGTCTACGAAAAAGATTAGAATATAATTTATAACAGTTGATTAAGCTTAACTTTTTATAATTATCATAAAACGAGAAATAATATTCGTATGATAAGGATAAAGAAGGATTAGCTGATTGAATTAATTCAAAGGAAATAGCGTTTATTCCATAAAGAAAATTTTGAGTTTTAAACGTAAATAAACTAGCCGTTTTTAATCTGTTTGTAGACAAATTGATGTGCGAGTTTTGTTTTTCATTTCATTAGACAATTGATTGCCTGATGCCACTTATTTGTAATTTATTTTGCATTTTACAAAAAGAATACGAACGATGTAGGTTTTTATATTATTTTATCGTTGATGAATAAACATTATTTATCATTTTCATAATTCAGCTAAGTAACACAGCGAATTAGTCGAAAATTTGTTTCATTAATTGAATTGTATGTTTGAATTCACCATGTTACTCGTTTATTATAATATTTATTATTTAATAAGACATTAATACTAAGCATTCAATCATTAACTTAAAGCTGAAAAACTTAATGGATATAAATTCGAATGGCTAAAGTATCCATTGGATTCATAAGACTTGTATTTTAACGATAAATCAACCTTCAATACGCGCACAATCGTTGCATTTCCAATAATATTATTAATTTCTGCGCACATCGATGAATTATAAAATAATTCTCGTAAGTAGCGTATATAATGGTAAAAATTTGTATCGCATATAATTTTTTTTCAAATACATCATAAAAACATTATGTATTTAGACATATTTATCGAATTATTAATAAATTTCGTACTTTGGGATTATTCATAAGTGCTTGGTTCTGTTTAATAAAATTGATTTTCCCTTTGATTGTACAATTCTCATCCATTAAAATTTATGTTTTAATAATTGACAGTCTCACACGTACATGCGACGACGCAAAAGAGCAGAAGTACTATTAGTAGATGAGAAATGCGTCGAATTTGAGAGGGAGTGTCGTGAAAGTAGCACTCGGCTTACGATTATACATAAAGTTGTATTCTTGCTGTGTGACTCGGTGTGTCTTAAAAATGACAACTATTTCGCAAGAAAAAGGAGACCCTCCTTTAAAACACTCATTATGCAAATGATAAAAGGGAGCTTTAGCGCAGCAACTAAGAAGAAAGTGAACTTTCGGTTTAACGCTTTAATTAAGCCCCGCTTACCTTAATACAATGGATCGACTATTATTGAAATCTATTGTATTTAATTTATGGTGACGTTATAATACCAATTTGAGTTATTTATGAAAAGTATTAAATTAACGAATGCAATGTTATATATATATGTTTTTTTTTTTTTTTTTTTTTTTTTTTTATAAACAATAGAACCAAGTATAAAGAACTTGAATAAATAAAAGCGCGTTATTTCAATAAATAGTTGAATTTTTAGCGAATAAGATTGCGCAGATTGTTAAACTTATGAATTATGAATGAAAAGGTAAGGAGAGAGAGGCTGAATATTGATTGCATCGTAGATATTATTTAAAGAAAAGCAACGCTTAATTGAAATACACAGACGCGCTCACAGATAAATAGAAGAGATAATGATTATATATTGTTTATAGTAGAAGCGATGAATGGTTAAAAGTTTTGGAGGAACAGAGGCGATAAGAACATTTTCATCGATATAGTAGTCCAGTGAAATTCTAATCGAAGGGACGAGAATGAAAAGAATCGTTACGTAAAAGAAGAGAAAACTGATGACAAGAAACGCAAACCCCATCTATGAATTAACTTTACGATTAATCAATAGATTATATTATCACATTTTACAATAAAAATACTATCAGTAATCGATATTCAAGTTGTACTCGTCAGGGTCTACGTACACATTCGCATTCGCTCTATTCATTCATTAAATATCGTATATCATTTAATAATGCGAAAGTTCGATACAAAGTTATTTATAATATATGTGCCGCGCCGGTAAAGTTTTAAACAGACTTAACCTTCATTTAATGCATTTATTAAATTGAAAAATGAAAATCCATTCTTACATTCTTCAAATGGTTCTTATAATGTAGTTCACTTGTATTTTTGTATATTTTCTAATAAGGGCTTTTACACAGGCCTTGGAGTTAAATAATTAATGGGCAATTTGCTTAATTATACAAGCTTCGTGGAGTTTAATATTTTGAAATCGATGCTTAACTGTACACGTATGATTTGGAAATCAATCGATACTTGGAGTATGAATTTTGTTATCTTATTCTCAATACTGATTATAGGGTCTCTCTCTCTCTCTCTCTCTCTCACTCTCTCTCTCTCTCTCTCTCTCTCTCTCCACTCCTCTCCACTTCTCTCTAATTCATACGATGTTCATTTTATTGTATGAGTCGTCCGATATTTTGTAATAAGCTTGAAAATTCATATGTTTTATCATCATCGATAGTATCATTTACTACATTCGATTATGACAATTAAGATTGCCGGTAATAAATCATCGATTAATGAAAAAATGAAAAATGACGCGTATACTTTGATTTTAAAGAGATGCCGAGGAGCATTCCTCGGCAAATATGCCGAATAGTTATAAACAAATTTATGGATCGAAATGGCGACGAGGCGCGCAATAAAACCGACTTGTTGGATAAAAAATGCTCGTGTGACCGACTTAAATGTTTAAAAGGTAGCCTGCCTGCCTGCCTACCTGCCTGCCCGATTCGACGATTAAACCGTAAACGATTCCGTTGATCGGTCTCGCTCTTAGTAAGGGATACACGACCTCGCGGTGCTTCGATTATCGGCACGCATACGAGGACTGCGATAGCGAAGTGACGAGCGCCAACCATTCTAACGCTTAACCAGCGCACGAGCAATTAGACAAATAAACAATCCACGATCAGCGAAAAATAAAAAAAAATTGAAATAAAAAAAAAGGATATGTATAAATGAACGAGGCAATGGGACGAGGGAAAGGCGGGCGGATTTGGTCCATCGCCCCACCCCATCGTCTCGCGGCCGACCTAGCCAACCGCTCGGGATCGACTCCCGGGATAAAGAAGGGAGGCTGCAAAACAAGGTCATCGTGGTATCTGTCCCTTTCAGACTAATCCTCGCCGTTCCATTGTTTTTCGAATGGCGATAGTTCTTGGCGCGTCCACTAACCAACCGAGCGCCGACTTTACGGTGATGACACTGGCTTTGCCTCCTCTGCCTACGTCGTAAGTCCACGTGGTATCGGTCGGCCACCGTCTATGCCGTCAACGTCGCCGCCACCTCCACTGCCGCCGCCGCCGCTGCCGCCGCCGCTGCCACCGCTATTCCCGTAAAATGCGAAAGCCGTGAAAGCTTCGGGATTCTTCCACGGGGAGGAGAGCAACGCCGGGCTCCCGAATTGCCTACATTAACGTTGCACTGCGCACCCATACAGCCACGGGAGGCTTGTGTGCACTGCAGTTTTTTTATTTGTAAACAGTAACGACTGAGCGAGGAAGCGAGACAAAGCTAAGAGGAGAGGTTGCGAGGCTTCGATTTTGCTTAACGTGTAATTGGGGTTGTTGAAGAGAGGGACATCCAGATAGCGAGAGAGAGAGAGAGAGAGAGAGAGGGAGCGTGTGAGAAGGGGTTGAAGGAGGGCGAGTGCGATAGGGTGGAAACGAGGGGCGACACAGATACAGAGTACGTTAGTGTGCGCGCGCTCGCGCGCGCGAGCGAGTCTGGGAGAAAGAGAGAGTGAGCGAGCGTGTGAGCGAGTGAGAGCGAAGTACGGCTGTGCTGCGAAGTAGCGGCCAACGGCACGGAATACTGCAAACTAACTGCTAATCGTGAGCTGCGAGACAACTGAAAACATGGACGCGTACGAGGAGCGGAAGCAGCAATGGGAAGATCTGGAAGTGAGCCGCGAAGAAATGGAGACCCTGACGAAGTGTATGAAGGAGGAGCAGTTCCGTAAGCTCCTCATAGAGTATGCCGAGGAAGTGAACGACCCGGAGAATCGGAAGTTATACGAGGCGGAGATAACGCAGTTGGAACGAGAACGAGGTATCGAGGTGACGTTCGTCAATCCTGAGCCGGGTTACGTCATTAAGACGAGCGTCGACGGCAGGACCAAGTGCTTCATCAACGTCAGCATGAACGGCTACGTGGGTAAGCCGACGAATGAACCGAGCAGGGGAGTCGAGGGCAACGGCGGTTACAACTGGTCGATCCCCTATGTGCTCGCACCTCCGCGCGACGACCTCGATAAACGTAAGACCCGCTGCCGGGTCTTCGACGTCGTCTTCCACCCGGAGTCCATGCGTTTGGCCAAGGCCAATCATAATTTCCGCGATATGGTCAACGACACGGCCATGGACGGCATCGAGAATAACTTTAAGGTAATGCCGAGCAACCCTTTCCCTTTAACCGCTACGTTGTCATTTTCTCCAAACTGCTTTGCCACTCTCCTCCTTCCCCCTCCTTCGGTCACCGATGCTCCTTAACAACGTTAAGTTCGTCGAACTTTAGTCTCGTCGCCTCGGCTTTGCTCATTTTATTGTCGTCCTGCGTCTGCAATGTTGCAGCGATGTTTGCAAACAACGCCGCAATGTCGATGTGTCCCGTCTTTGTTTAATGCCCAGTTACGCCAAGATCGCTTTCTTTTCAATCCTATATACAACTTGTCGTGACGACGACGATGACGATGACGACGACGACGACGACGACGACGACGACGACGACGACGACGACGACGACGACGACGACGACGACGACGACGACGACGACGACGACGACGACGACGACGACGACGACGACGACGACGACGACGACGACGACGACGACGACGACGACGACGACGACGACGACGACGACGACGACGACGACGACGACGACGACGACGACGACGACGACGACGACGACGACGACGACGACGACGACGACGACGACGACGACGACGACGACGACGACGACGACGACGACGACGACGACGACGACGACGACGACGACGACGACGACGACGACGACGACGACGACGACGACGACGACGACGACGACGACGACGACGACGACGACGACGACGACGACGACGACGACGACGACGACGACGACGACGACGACGACGACGACGACGACGACGACGACGACGACGACGACGACGACGACGACGACGACGACGACGACGACGACGACGACGACGACGACGACGACGACGACGACGACGACGACGACGACGACGACGACGACGACGACGACGACAACGATGACAACAATAACGATAACAATAGCAACAACAATCACGATAATAATATTTGCTTATTGACAACTTTCATTCATATTGGATTATTCTCCAGTGTTCCACTTTCATTCGGCGTTTCATTTTATATTAAAATATTAATTTAATTATTTACTAATATGCTGAGTACTATATTACTTACAATCTAACCAATAAACCAAACATTCCTGCAATAATACAAAGCCATTAATCCAAGCGCTATGTGGATGATGATGGCTATTATAAACAATCGTAATCATAATATTCTTCGAATTATGTCTTTACCCTTATTGCTACAGCAATAATCTGAAGAAAAAAAAAAAGAAAATAATAAATCAAAACATTAATAACTTATATACATTAACCTTCCTTCCCACTACAGTGTGCTCTGTTTGTATTTATACTTATTTATCAATCACTGGGCAATTATATCATTATATATTATTCGTAAGCTCTTTCTTTTTAGTTTATCTTGTCAAGCAACGTTTAGTACATTATTATTAATATTATCTATCGGTTTGATAAAAATGACAATGACATTCTTATCACTGTTTAACAGCACCTATTACCATTATATCTCAATGCTTTTCATAATAACTGCAGCAAACAAATAAATAATAGACTATCAAAGACTATCAAAGCTCTCGCTTCTTAAATAAAAGATTTAACCGAAAATAAATTGGCATTCAAAACATTTATTTATAATTCTTTAATTCAGCGATGGATTTATAGATGCAACCTTCTAATATGATGCTGTTGTAGTTTGTTAAATAATATCACTCGTTACTATTGACATTTTATATAAGAAATAGCAATAGTATTATTAAATTTCTGTGATATAATTCATCGATAAATTTTTAACTTTTTTTTATTTCTCAATGTATTATTTTTGCATTTTGAAAGTTTGTATATTTGTATGTGTTGACAGGTTAAATTGGATCGTAAAAATCTAAAATTCCCAAAAATGAATTTTAAAGGCATGGCACATCCTACAGTTATTAGAAGACCTTGCGATAAGCCAGTGAAACAATCGGAAACGGACCCTGAAATCTATCAAAAATTGATGTCAAGTTACGACGAAAGTAGAGAAAGATGGTTGAAATCTACAGAGGAGAGATGCCCAAGACCTACTCCAACCACTAAATACTACAATTCACAAGCTAATGAGACTGAAGATAAAAATTCAGAGTATACGAAACCAAAATTTGTTGTAAAATACCAAACGAGTTTTGACATGGATGAATTTAGGGAATCTAAAGATGCTAAGATGCACTCTGCAATTCCCAAAAATCTAGTTATCATCATCAACTTGCCACTGTTAAAATCTGCCGATTGTGCGACATTGGATGTTCAAGCGCGTCACCTAACATTAAAAAGTGAAAAGCCTGCCAAATATTGGTTGGAATTACCACTATCGTACACGGTTGATTCCAATAATGGTAGCGCAAAATTTGATCCAAAATTGAGAAGGTTAACCGTTACTTTGCCTGTGATTCGTGACATGTCTTTCTTACTCGATACAAAGGAGGACAGCGGTGTGGAAAGTGATCATGGAAGTCCTCTGCCCGAATCACAAGTCATAAATAATCACTTGGCGCAAGAAGGGGACTTGAGTGATGGTTGCAAGCCAAAAAATGGTTCGTTGATTTGTGTTTTAAATGAAAATGATAAAGTGCAAAGTGATTGTGCAGATACCGCTTTACGGACTAGTGAAGATACAAAAACGGCGGTGCCATTTATGAATCCTAACGTAAAATATTCCCTTCCGCCGTTCACTTGTAACTTATACGATAATCTCTTTGCCATCACAATACATGTGAAAAATGTAGATACAGAATCTATACATTACAAGATTTTACAAGAGAGCTCTGGTCTTCATATAATACTTACATCTATCGGAGCTGGATTCTTTCCTATTTATTATTCGTTATGCATGAAAATACGGAAGGACGCAGTTGTGTCGGATACTTTGACTGTAGAGCCTTGGGACAATAATGTCGTTTTATCGATTCAGATTAACGAGCCAGAAGTGTTTTCACGCTATTTTGTTGGAACGGATGAGGAATTTATGGAAATTAAGGATCTTTCTGTAGCAGTATCCATTCAAAATAAATTGCAAGCATTAATGGTAAATACTTAGAAATTACTTTCACGTTCCAGATCTTAACGATCAGTCAATCAATCTCTTAAAAATACTCGTTAAATTTATAAAACCATTAATTTCATATAATAATGACGAAAGACGATGTTTAATATACTTTTAATTATTAAAATACAGGAGGATCCAGAAATAGAAACGGATAAAAACGTCGAGGTTATTAGAAATGAAAATGAAGTTATTGTTAATGTTTGCTCGGAGAGTGTGGACTCGGACGATGACGATGAACATGAAAGCAAATTAAATTCCGAAACAGATGAACAGAAAAGAACACAATCGAGATCAATATCCGAGAGCAGTGGAGACGAGTTTGCAAGCAGTATTGCTAGTAGTACAGGAAGTGCACGATACAAGAGTATTCTGAAAACTGGTCATAATCGTTTTTCACGATCCATTTCGGAATCGAGCATCGACGATAGTACCGCACCCTTACACTCAGCGACATTTAATGATTTTGTACAGGAACTTAATTCTGAGTCAGAAGGTTCGAGTTTAAAAAAAACGGTTCGCTTTAACGATGTGGTTTCGCGTCAATTATTCAGGTTAGTTTATACGCGAAGATTTTAATGACAATAGTGCCATAGCAATTCACCGTGCTTCATAACAATTTAATATTAAAGATTCTATCAATATATTTTTGCCAATTGTAGTTTTGGCAATTTTATGACATAGCTTTGCGATTGGAATCGGTCACGATCAGTCATTAGAATTCAGTAGATCAGTATGTAAATGCAGTTATTACGGTTGAAGTAATAAGTAATTCACTATAGATAAAGAAGTTTAATATACTTCTGCGCAACTTTCTTATAATTAATAATCACTAGCACTATTGAATTAATTATGTAAAAGGATAAATATTTACAATGAAAATTAAGTTTATAAGTGATAATTTATTTGATTGTAATTTGTGAATATAATCGTTGCAGGTCAAACTCGAGTATCTTTGGTCAACGTAAGAAGAATCAAAGAAAGCTGAAGAATAAAAAGCGTGCACAGGAGCGACGGTTAAGTGAAAGCGAGAATTCCGAAGGAGAAGAGCGGGAGAAATATAAAGCAGAGGTAAAAAATGAAACGGAACAGGATGTCTCTGATGCGGTACGACCAATACTTCATCAGTCGAATAAGCAGTCAGAAGCTCGAAAAACTGCCAATATTGAAATAGAACGTACGCCACGTAACGCCAATAAACGAAAACAGAAGCGCAATACGAAAAATGACAAGATTAACCCAACTAAAGGTGAAGAGACAGCTAAAATTGAAGATAATTCTAAAGGTGTTGAGCCTTGGAAAACGTTTGACGGCAAAAATTACCTTATGTTTGACCTTGAAGTATAAGATGAAAAATTATGTTATAACCATATGAGGTAAACAGTGATAGTAATAGCTCAGCATATAATATTCTTTATTTCTTTCTTTATTTTTTTTTTCTTCTTTTTTTTTTCTCCTTCTTTCTTTCTTTTACTGATTCAGTAATGAGTAGCTAAAAATATCGCTGCCTTTGTCAATGTGTGATTCGAGATAACGAGATAAGAAATCTTTAATTAAAAATTATGTAACGTTACATTATTGATATTAATTGAATAATGCGTAATTGAATCTTGGATGCGGGAATAGAATTGCTGGATCAATATCGAATATTCTACGTACATATATAATAACATAATCAGTTTATCAGATAAATTTTTACTTAGGTATATACATAGATTATCGTAATTCAATAATTCAAATGCTTATATACGCGATGCATGTAGTAAATCATGATAGAAATAAAATAAAGAAAAGCAAAAAATAGAGAGAGGCTTCGATAGAAATAATTATTAGATTTATACACGTTTCTTATGAAACGATGTCTTAGTAAGTTGCATTTCTTTTTCATGCTCAGTGAAATTTTAGCATGAGCTAAATAAATAAAACTAAAATAGCTTTTTTCATCATGACAGTCGAAATTGTACAAATAGTTTATACATTATGATTGTTAAGAATAATTTTTCATTTTGCGGTGAAGGACGTGGAAAATATTAGCCGTCTTTTACGCGAGAGCAGAAACATGTTCCTTCAAAGTTATTAAATTTGCACGCAATTTGCGTACACAGAATATGTGTGATAAAACGACAATGTCGACTAAATATGCGCGTCATTTGATATTAAGCGCCTTATTATTTACGATTTCGCCGTTTGTCCTAATACATCACATTAGGCAAACGCTGTCGCTCATATTATCGCGTGTCCATTAATAGCTTCGCCCATACGGCACATAGCGAACAAATTGATGGCAAAAATGTATTTTTAACTGCGGTGCTAGAAAAAAGGATTTTAACAAGCAAAACCTTATCTATCCCGATAGATGATGATTCTTCTACAAAATTTTCTTTACGTCTCTTAATATTTTTGGATAAAGGAGAAAATTTTTTATTCAACTCAATCTCATGATAAATAATAAGCGAATGAAAATGAATTATAATTGTAAATTGAAATTTCGCGAGACTAGATATTGAACATTTTTTACTGCGTTGGTAAAAAAGAAAAAACAAAAAAGAAGAAAAAAAAAAGTTATATAAAAAGAAATTTATTATATCATTATGTATGTTTAAATGTGTTTATAGGACTATGAATGTGTAGCTATTGCATCATAATAGGTATCTGTGATATTACTATGTATCGATTAAAGAATTATTTTCCGCTACGAAACGTACAATAATTGAAGTGATTTTGTGAAATACCTTATCATAAGCTTAAATTCTTAGTCAATCAAAATTTCGAATATTATATTTTTAAATAATCATAAAATATTCTCGTAAAAAAGTATTATTGATATGTGAGTGATAGAATTGTATATACATGTTTTTATTTTCTATCACAATTTGTCAACTTATCGAAACCAAAGATAAAATTTCCATAAAAATTTTTTTTACAACTATCGTTATAGTCGTCTCTTGCCGCGTATTACTTTTTAAAAACTTGCTTAGGATTCCTTTATCTAGCACTGTAGAGATTAATTATAAAAATAAATTTTTTTAAACGATTGTACACCAGTGTTTACACCAGAGACGCCGTGCGTACATTATGTCAAAAGTGAGAAAACATTTAAATTAAATAAAATATATTGAATAATTTAAAATAGTGTTATTATTTCCATGATTTAATAATTGTTTAACCTCGTATTTTTTTTTTTAAACCACTCTTGCAAATGCTGTAACAAATGAGATTTATTCTTTTCTAGTTAAGGTATTTTAAAAATCTCGTTTTGTTTAAACTCAATTTATTATTAATATATGGGATCGTGTAAATTTCATATCGTTCAAAATAATTTATAATATATATATAAGTACATATAATTATATGTTTATCTATTGGATGACAGATTCTTTGTAATATAAATAGGTTTAATATTAATAGATTAAAATATTAAAATTATTTGAATGAAATTGTTATAAAAAATATTTATTATTATAAGTTAGTTGTGACAATGAAAGTTATGATCTATTTGCTTTAACATATATGTGTGTATAGAGCTCTTTATTACATAATTTATATAAACATAAATACAAATATTTGAAATTATACGAATCCTATAATTATTAAGCTGTAACCATAGTATATTAAACAATTATGTTGTTTTTTTTCTTTTTTTTTTTAATAGCAAAAATTTATTTTATTCGCCATTTAATCAAATTCTTAATGTATAAAATACTTGAATTTAAGCATTTAGATATATATATATATATATATATATATATATTTTTTTTTTTGTTGATAAATTTGTAACTAAAAATTATACAATAATAATTGATATATGATTTTTATCGTTTAGATAATAATAATGAATTACTTTATATTTTATCTGTCACAATTATGTATATAAAATCTAATATACTTTATTAATTATGAATTATTTTTATATGTAAGTGCTATACAATGAAAGTAAAATATAATATACAATATATTATATGTTATTAGAATGAAAAATATAATAAAATAAAATATATAATGGATTGTGGAGACTGTGATTTTTTTCATAAGTTACTTAGGTACTTTGTTGAAGTCTTTGGTACTAATAATTACGATATAATAATATTTTTTATGAAACTTAATATTAATCGCTTGAAATACATATATGCTGTCGATACAACTACATTACACTATTTTAACATTAATAATTATCTTTTAAAGTAAAGGAAATAAATCTTCACTATCTATTGACTAATTAAAAATTCGCGATAATTTAAATTTAATACATTATTTGCCAGGTATCAAGATATAACTGCGTCGATCAATTGACGGGGTAGAAATATTTGGTCGTTCGATTAGAGAAAAATAGGATGAGAGAATAAAATCTAATTTGGCTGGTCGTCGATCAGCTTTTTCAAGCAAATCTGACAGCAAGCACGAGTCGACCTACATTGATTCGAAATAGGAATAAATGGCGAAACGAGAAAGTAGCCTAGTGATGGGTACGAGATTTGATGTATAGACTATGATATACGGGTGTGTGTGTGCGCGCGCGCGTATGTAGTATTCCGATTGGCTTCTTCATATGCTCCGACTTGCTTATTTAATAATACTATCTAAACGAAATTTTTCATGGATCATTTTTCTTTATTAGAAAGGTTTCACGAACACAATCGAACTATTTATTACAAATATTTAGTTTTTTTTTGTTATTTATTTTTTGACATTATATACCCTTAATACGTAATACTGTTAATGTTATGTATAATTCATTACATATTTCAATATTTATATTTGCAAAATTCAAGTTTATGTACTTTATATTTCTAACAAATTTGACAAGCATCAATGGCAAGAATTTTATTTATTGTGCCTGTTAATGCCTCATGATTGCGGTATATTTCGAACTAATTAAAAATATAAATATCAATAAACTTATTACTTGACTATCATAGTTAAAGGAAACTTTAAAGGAAATTTAACAATAAATATATTACAATTAATATTAAATAAAATTGAAAAAATACATAAATAGCATAGTCATTTTTAGATATATTTTTTGAATAAATGATCTCATATGTTAAAAATACATAATATTAATAATATGATAATTATTAAGTACGTGATTAATATAAATATATTAAGTTTAAGTTTATATTTACCATGAAGTAATATTTTGAATGATTTAATATAACTAATGTAATAATTTTAAACAGAATGTTCATGTAAATCCTATTTTTTTTTTCACGATTTTATTTACATCTTATTAAAATTAATATTTGTTATGGTTGACAGTATATACATATATATATATATATATATATATTATTTGTTTAAATTCTTATATACACATTTATATTAATAATTGGCATTTGAATAGTTTAAAATGTTAAAAAGTGAAATACATTACTTATTGATTATTCCTCATTTCTATGTAATTATGCACAAAGATGTTTTTCAACACTTTATTTATAAAATGCCATTAAAAGAATCTGGCTTTTAAGAGATTTTACATATACAACTTTTTAATATTTTAATATATTTTATTTTTATTGCAATTTATTAGGTAAAGACACTTTTAAATCATACTAATATCATTCAAATGTGTATAATTAGAAAGCATCGATTTATTTGAAAATGTTTAAGGTGAAGAATGAATTATAAAAATTTATTGCAATTCATTCGCGTATGTATAGCGTATTACATGTTTGTATTCTTTTCTATTCGAAGCTGACTCGGAATTTGAATCTCATAACAATAATCAGCGGATAGATAATTTACAACGTAAATATTTATCATCAACGAATAAACATTTAACATCAATCAATAAACAGATTTAATCATAGAAATGCTTTACGTATTGCTGCTTAAACAGATTCATGTATAAAAAAAATACGGAAATTAGAAATAAATGAAACGCTTATTTTCTATCGTTACGGAGGTCAGTTTGTAATGTATAAGCGTTAGCAACGTAATAGCGATTGACGTGAATGCCGTATCCTTAAAGAAGCTAATGTAATATCCAACTAGGAAGTTAAAGGTAAGTTGGGTCGTTAAGGAAAGAGAAGGTGATCTTATCTCGTTTACGATCACATTCAGCGCCCACATCATACAGTTCGTTTTTTTCTCTTTAAAAATATCCGTTTAGAGAAAATTGATGAATCATAACCAAAGTGAGCACCATGTAAATAAAAACAATGGATGTAGAGGTGCATAAAGTGGATTTTACGTCTTCTGTCTGACAAAATAGATCACATAAGTCTTGTTAATTTTTAAGGAAAATTTACCATGTTATAATATTTATGTTAAACTCGTATAAGGTTAAGTGGCACTTAGGAATACGTTAGAGAGACTTAAAAAAGAGAGAAGAAAAAAATACGATCGAAAACAGCTTCTACGTTAGTATCTTTAATGCGCAGTCAAACATTCTTGGTTATTTAAAAACACTAACATTTTAT